CCAAACTCATTATGTGTATTCAATTAAAAGTTTATGTGTATTGTGTTATGAGTTTATGTGTATTCAGTTAAGAGTTTATGTGTATTATGTTAACCAAACCCCATTATGTGTATTCAGTTAAAAGCTTATGTGTATTATGTATTGTGTTAGATTATGTGTATTCTGTTATGAGTTTATGTGTATTCTGTTATGAATTTATGTGCATTCGAAACAGAGATTTTTTTTTTTAACAACTTAACAAAACGACGTCGTTCTGAGAGGCGCAGGATGCACAGTGCTATGTGCGCCGTGGTGCACGGTATAACGATTGGTAGTTTTGTCCTCACGATAATGTAAAGAGTTATTTCCTTTATACTTAATTATCTTACTCAAAAGTCGAACATTCAGGGTATTTTTTATTTTTCAGGCCACAACGAGAGTACGTGGCCATTCGCACCAACCAAACTGGTTAACATTCAAGGTGTTAAAATATCTATAAAAATATTTGAAGAATAACGTCATTTTATATTTTCATTTTCATTCATGTGTGGAGTAGAGTTGTGTCAATCTTGTAACGTTGATGATATATTTTACAACTTTTAAGAATGAGCTTAAAGGATACAGTGTTAAAATGTCTATAAAGATATTTGAACATCAACGCTATCTTAAATTTTCATTCATTTGTGGAACAAAACTAAGACAATATTGTAACATTGATGGTATATTTTTACAACTTTTAATAGTGATGAGAGACCAAGATAACTACTTATGAGACAAATTCAAAAATATGCTTTCCTTTTTTTTTATTTTTTTTATTTTAATACATAAATATCGTGGTATTTAATAGTTGCTATAATAATGTTCGTATTGAATATGATTTCAAACGTGACTCAATTAAAATCTAGACTTCTAATTAAGTTGAAAGAAACCCGCACTATCACATTCATAATCCCAAAAGTGTGTGTGTATTGTTATATTAACAATTAAATTAGTCCCAAATTGAATAGTTTAGAAATTAAACATAAAAATATGATTTGAAGAGAGAATCAAATATCTTTGGATTTAAGTTCTTGTATGGGTAGTGGTTAGCCAAATCAATTCATTCAAACAACTTTCGATATACACATGCAGCTGCTATATATATGTATTCCATATCCGTGAAGCATAACTCCAAAACCATATTCCCAAAAACAAATTCTAGTGGTCATCCCAATTTATAACTCCCACTTGCAACCAAAACCTTTTCATATACATTTCATTAAGGAGTTCTCACGCTCATACCCCATATAGTACTTGTACATTAATGCATACAATAAGGTTAAATCCATATCTCGAACTAACAGTGCACCTTATGACGACTGTGCCGTGCAGGCTGGGGCGAAAATTTGATTATTTGACATACTTAATTGCCACACTAGCATTTGGATGATGCTGAAATGATAGCTGTAAATTAAATGATTGAGGGTTTTGTTTTTCAAACCTAATTGTTGCCAAACTATTACTGGCCTGAGATTGATTATTAAACGGCATTTTGATTTGGGACAGTTGCCGCCCTCAACGGGCATAAAACAGGACTCCATTCCTTCATTTCCAACCACAACCTAATATTTTATCGTCAACATATATGACAACATTAAAAACCGTGTTCCACCTTTTATTTTAATTTCCTTTTTTTTTTAAATTAGACTATGCAAAACAATTAATACCTTAATTACTTGATAAATATGATCCACGACAACATACAATGCTCTTAAAAAAAACACCAATATTTGGATGGAGTAACCCCAGTCAAGTTGATCCAGAAATTTGCTTAATTAATAATTACAAAGTTTTAAATTTGACTTCAATAACAACCTATTATCATTATTAGTTTTAGCCGATTAGCTATGAACAATTTAAATTGATTTATTTGGTATTTTAGTGGCTAGGATCACAAGATGATGTTTATCTTGTGTACACTCCCAAGTAGTAGTTTTGGATTTTCCTTGTCACCAAAATAAAAAACAAGCTAAGCATGATTCGAAAATGGTTATGGCCCTAAAAAGAGTAACCAACAGGATGAAACATTCTCGTACTAGAAGCTTATGAATCTAATACCTGTGCAAACATACTTTCTCAATCTCATGACCACTCACATGGAAGAGGTAACTACATGCCATCTGACATAATGTCTATTCTCCCAAATATTATCTATTAAATCATTGAGATAAATCTGTACTATTTGAGAATTACTATAGTTATATATTGTTGAATATCAAATATAATTAATCCATGAATGGTATCTGGTACAATCAAGTAAATATCTAGTTGCATCTATTATGGTTAAGCTATTATAATTATAGTATTAAAAAAATTTAAGGAGTCTTCATACACTATTGACATACACCTAATCTTACGCAACAGCGCCTCAGTATATATACCTCTCCATCTCCACTCAAATCTCAACACAGAAGCTCATTTGCCATCATATCACTACTGTTATTGCTTTGATCAGTAACTTTGTTTCCATGGCTAAGGGGACGGCGGCGGAGCCTGCAGGGTCGTTCACGGCGAAGGACTACCAAGATCCTCCGCCGGCGCCGCTGATCGACCCGGAGGAGCTGACGCAGTGGTCGTTTTACAGAGCTCTGATAGCAGAGTTTATAGCCACGCTTCTGTTCCTCTACGTCACAGTCTTGACTGTGATTGGGCACAGCAAGGAAGCCGACGCCTGCAATGGAGTCGGCGTTCTTGGAATCGCCTGGGCCTTTGGTGGCATGATCTTCATTCTTGTTTACTGCACCGCCGGCATTTCAGGTCCGCATTATATTATATTCATTCTCTTCCTAATTATGTATTCTCAGATAGATTTTCCATTTTCATCACCCCAAAATGGTGTTTTAAATGCAGGTGGTCATATTAATCCGGCGGTGACCTTCGGGCTATTCCTAGCTCGGAAAGTTTCGCTGGTCCGAGCGGTGATGTACATGGCGGCGCAGTGTTTGGGGGCCATATGTGGCGTCGGGCTGGTGAAAGCTTTCCAGTCGTCGTACTACACCAGGTACGGCGGCGGCGCCAACAAGATGGCCGAGGGCTACAGCGACGGCGTGGGTTTGGGCGCTGAAATCATCGGAACTTTTGTTCTTGTGTACACTGTTTTCTCAGCCACTGATCCCAAGAGGAATGCCAGAGATTCACATGTCCCTGTAAGCATTCACACACTCCTAGATATACTATATATATATACTATATTTCTAGCTTTGTCTTTTGTTTGGAAGTTGGATGCTCAAGAATCTAAGAACGGTTGCTTAATTATTTAATTCTCAACTGGATAATTGAATAGAAAAGTGGGCATGTGAGGACTATGCAAACAGGAATCAACATTATATTTGACAATATAATATGTTTGTTGTCACAATATAGTATACTATCAACTTGACTATATAAGAAATTTCTAAACTGTTGTTTGTGAACTCTTATCTTCATAGTATTAAGTATAATCAGGCGTGGGTAATCCCAGTTGATTGGATTCACTACTGGAAATTATGAAATTTTGATCACCTGAAAGTGATCTTAAATCAAGTTAAAAGCCTTGTTCCGACCACTTTTGGTATTCGGAAAAACCTTTGTTGCTATTTCCGACCACTTTTTGGTATCAAACTTGATTTAAGATCACTTTTAGGTGGTCAGAAATTCCATAATTTTCAGTAGTGATTATTGAATTGGTTTAATAATCATAATAAGTGGGAGGCGCCTATTAGTCTTTGTAAATTGAACCTATCAGCTATGAGCAACCTGATTAAATTTACGTCCTTGTAATCCTTTGCCGGCTAGGATTACAAGGCAAGTTTACCCCATGCACATTTTCGAGTAGTAGAGACGTATTATGTTTAGTTGTATCTAATGTAAAAGGCACTGGTGCTGATTGGGAAGTTCAAAAAAACCTCATCAAGACTAACAATGTCAAATATTGTTTTTGAATCATATATATATATATATATAGGTTTTGGCACCTCTCCCAATAGGATTTGCAGTGTTCATGGTTCACTTGGCCACCATACCGATCACCGGCACAGGCATCAACCCTGCAAGGAGTCTTGGAGCTGCTGTTATGTATAACAAGGACAAAGCTTGGAATGACCATGTGAGGCTACTAATCTAATTAAGTTCTTCTTTTGCAGAATGGTTTAATTTCCTCTTCAATGATTTTTGAAGATTTTGTGTTTCATATTGTTGTGCAGTGGATCTTTTGGGTAGGACCCTTTACTGGTGCAGCCATTGCAGCCTTCTACCACCAGTTCATCTTGAGGGCAGGAGCAGTGAAGGCTTTTGGTTCATTCATGAGCAGCTCTCAAGTTTGAATTGAAGTGATTGCATGTTTCTCTTCCACTTCCGCATTCTTGGCAGAATGATGAGTGAGTTTGGGGAAAAAGATGATGTTTTCTGGGATCAATAATGTTGAATGATGATGTTTTACTAGGATAGTGAGTTGTTGTTGTCCTAGGTCATTTATTGTACTCATTGTCACAGCAATTCTTTGTTGATCATGCACCACAGGAGAGTGTTTGGGAGTCGTTATTTTTAATTTTATTTGTTGTCATCATGTATTACTTGATTTTTTGTATCTACACTACTTCACATTATTCATTATGTATCCTTTCCTCGTACTAGTACAAAATCAGTCATTTGCGAATTTAGTATTTTGATCTCTAAATTAAGACAATAAATCTCCTTAAATCTTGGCCATTAGTGTCCCTGAATCTGCCAACCCGTCCCTTTTAATACATGTGGAATGTCTCTTTCAACGCTACCTCTTCACTTAATTAGTCCGAGGGTCCGACACAAAGTACTCTCTTCGAGATTGTCCGACCAACCATTCTAGGACAAACCGCCTATACTAGGTACCATCATGGCTATGTAATATATAGGGATTTACATATTGAGAGAATTGAGTATCTGCAAATAGTGTCAAGAATGAATACAATTTACAAAATGATTCTAGGAGAAACTAGGTTGTTAATTGATTGATGAAACAGTCAGCCATTAACTTAGACATAATTTAATTTGTGATAATATATATGATACAAAGATAAGCTCCAATGGCATTAATTGTACCCTCCTGAGCTTTCTTCTATTCTATATACATAACTAAAGTCCATAACTTTTTTTTTAGTTAAGACAGAATACGTATTTTGGTGGTGGTGGTCGGGGAGGATCGGAGATGGATGAATTTAAATTTTCAACTAGCCTGGGCGATAACCATCATGTGTTTATTAATACTCTGATCAGCTAATTCTTTGAACCGGAGGAGCTCCGGCATGACTTCCTTCCCCAAATCCGGCCGGTCCTTTCGCCGGAGCTGTGCACATCGCAGGGCAAGCTTTCCCATGGCTAAAACCTCCTCAACCGGCCAATTTGTGACCACGGGGTCCAGCATATCCAGGAACGTGCCCTTGTCGAAGGCGTCGGCGGCGTGATGAGCGATCCCCATCGCCGGCTTCGCCGTGATCAGCTGCAGGAGCACGATCCCGAACGAGTACACGTCGGACTTCACCCCCAGCATCCCCGTCTGCTGATACTCCGGATCGATGTAACAGAAAGTTCCGGCCGCTGACGTCATCCGCAGTTGCGTGACGTCGTCCGCCATCGTCGGCGGCACCAGCCGCGCCAGCCCTACGTCGCTGATCTTGGCCGCGAAGCAATCGTCGAGCAGGATGTTCCCCGGCTTCAGATCCCGGTGCACCACCGGCTCCGGCTTCGTCTGGTGCAGAAACAACAGTCCCGTCCCCACCTCCGCCGCGATCCGGAACCTGACTTGCCAGGAAAGCGCCGGTTTGTCTCCCGGTTTCAAGATTCGTTCCTCTAAGCTCCCGTTCCCCATGTAATCGTACACCAGACACCCATACTCCGGACAAGCTCCCAGCAGCAGCACCATGTTGGGATGGCGAAGGCAACTCAGCACTTGAACCTGTGTATCGCTTTAATTATGTATTGCAAATACCAATTCTGGTGCCACGAGTATTACCAAAATGACAATACGTTTTGGTCTTTAATTCTTACCAATTTTTATGCACGATTATTATTTTAGTACCAAAATTCATCAATTACCCCTCCGTTTAAGACATGCCGACATCTAAAAATTTTAAAGGTATTTTCCTCATTTTCAACATAAGATTTTAATTTGAGTATAAATAAAATGATTTAAGCTCTAAGATTGATCCTGATTCTCAATTCGCAATTTGTATTCTCATCCTACCTTAAATTAGGATCTTAAATCTCTTTATTCACACTCAAATCATTATGGTGGCTTTCTTACCCTTTAAAACCATCCCTTGGATCACAACCTCTCCCCAAATAGTAAGGGTTCTTAACTTTTAACACATACACCTAGATATTATTCTAATCCATTACTTAGGCTATAACATTTTTTATTTTTTTGAAAGGGGCTATAGTATTTATTATTTATATATTTTTTTTTATTTATTACTCCGTATTTATATATTCTTTGAGCCGCCGTTTTGTGTCAGTATCTCATTCTTTGTATGTACTCTTTTGGACATAACGCCATGAGCTAATAATACTACTATTTTCTTACCTTACTTTCATTCCCGATTTATAGTGAACTTGATTCCAATAAGGTAAGAAAGCCACCATATCGAATGTTATTCACAAGACATGCACATGTTATCATCTTGGGAAGCAAAAAGGGTCTCGAAGATGCAACTTTTTGATTTCACAAATGAAGGGGTGATTAGAACAATAATTATGGATAAAAATTAGTACTAAAACAATAGTTATGAATGAGAATGGGTAAGAATTGAATATGTGAATCAAAATTGTCATTTTGTTAATACTCATGAGATCAAAATTATTGTATAAATTTTTAGTAAAGACATATATATTTACCTCTTTATGAAATTGGGACATGCCCTGGGTAGCGTCAGGGCGTAGCACCTTGACGGCCACGTTGGTGTGATCAAGAATACATTTAAACACAGGCCCATACCCTCCTTCTCCAATCTTTCTTGATACGGCGAAGCGTTCTGTAGCTTCTTCGATTTCTTCAATGGTGTACTTTCTATATCTAAAGTCACATCTCCCATTGTCTTGCTCCTCCGTGGACGACGCGTTGGGTTCACTGCACCCACTTCTCATCCCACCCTCTGAACTCACTTTCGACACGTCCTCTTGATCTGATGTCTCCTCCAATCGCTTCTCTTCCTCAATCCGCCATAGCTGGAGCTCAGTCGCCTTCTGCTTTGCAGTTAACGCCTCTTTGCATGCGGTGCTATACAAGTCCATCATCTTCTGCAAATCTTGCTTTAGCCTCTTCATTTCAGCATCGCCTTCTTCCTGTATTATTTATTCATTCTTCAGAAAACACAGAATTAAAGAAGATAATGATTGTTTGTTTCTTGAATTGGCTTACGCTTTCGAGGGAGGCGGTTGAGAAATCAGTGACGGAGTTGGAATCGTTGGCCTTTGATCCAAACCCGTTGCTTTCGGAGCTGCAGGTGGATACCCGAGATGTTCGCCCCGTATCCATTCCCTCATTGAACATAGACGATGCATCGGTGCTTGGCCGGCCGGAGCTCACGAATGATATATCCATGTCGGAGTCCGAAATGTCCGAAAATGGCTTCCCTTGGATCCCTCTTCCTGCCGCTTTATCAAACGGTGACCTGTATATATATATGCATGCATGCATGCATTCACGTGGAATCTTAGCTTATTATATATATATATATATATATATATATATATATATATATATATATATATATATATATATATATACTGTTAGGTTGAATTGTGATCATTTTTCGTTACCTCATTGGTATTTCCATGTCGTTGTTACACATGAAAGATGGGCGATTGTTCCTTTCTCCAAACGTTGGAAGTTTATCTGCATTCTTCAACAAAACCAACTAAGCTAGCTAGCTATCCAACAATAATGTAGGTTGTTGTTGGACAGATCGAGGCCGGTGAAATGTCAAGTCCACTGACACCAGTTACTAAGTCTAGGCGGGCCTCTAGAAAATATAATATTGCACTGCGGGAAATTATGCAATTTCCGATCACCTCAAATCAAGTCGAAAGTCTTGTTCCGACCACTTTTGGTATCCGGACAAACCTTTATTACTATTTTCGACCACTTTTTACTTAGAACTTGATTTAAGATGTGGGAAATTCTATAATTTCCAGCAGTGTATTATTGTAAGAAGAAGAACATTAATTATGATAGTGGTTAACCTTTTAAAGTGGGAGTGTGTTTGTGGCGTGTGGGTGCCGGAGAAGTAGAGTTTACAGCTTTGGGGACGACCGCGGCGGTCGGGGGACCGTTGTTGGCGTTGTTATTGGTGTTGGTGTTGTTGTTGTTGTCGGGCTGTTGTTCATCGTTCTTCTTGTTGATCTGGTTGTAGAGTGGGGACATAAACGGCGCGGGACGAGAAGCGTTTCGAACGGAGGAGATTTTGGCTTTGGAAATGACATAAACGGTGCAGAAATCTGGGGCTCCTTTTGAAACGCAGGTTGGGATGTCCATAACCTTCAACCTCCTGTAAACCACAACATTATATGAATAATCATGAGATGGATCGAGGTTGTAATCAAAAGTAGGACGGACCAGATCCACTGCTAGAAATTATAGAATTTCCGACCACCTCAAAGTGATTTTTAAGTTGAAAGCAAAAAAGTGGTCGGAAATAGCGACAAAGTTTTTTCGAGATATCAAAAGTGGTCGTAAGACTTTCGACGGTGGTGGGAAATTCTATAATTTCTAGCGATGAGAAACCTCAGCGGCTGGGACGACTTAACTTGAGAAATCCATGCTTTGATGCACCAAGAACCAGGTTTTCGATTCCAGAACCAGACACGTATTGCATTAGCGCTTTTGATACATCTGTGTCTTCCAGAATCACATCCATGGGGTGTATCTGCAGGGTACCCACAAATATATATATATCAAATCTGGCCTTAATGAAAAATTTGTAAAACGTAACTTAGCTTACATCTTTACGGGTGCAGAAGACATGAAAAACACCGAACAATTCTTTGGTGTGTTTTTCAATTTGTTGCTTGCGATCCGGAGGCGCATTGGCAGAACCATCTGTAAACAATATATATGATTACAGATATGTGATTATGGAAATGAAAGATGAGAGAAATTAAAGTAACGTACGGAAAGATTTGTGGAGAACGTGGATGAGGACGAGGGTTTGACCCCTGGAGACGAGGTTTTCAGTAGTCCATTTGAGGGCAGATTGGCTCCCTTTGTCTTTGTCAACGGCGAGGGCGACCAGGCCACGGGTGGCGGGGGCAGGCGTCTTTTGTCCTGCCCCTGCCGGTTTCGAACTCTGAAGCCACATTATATTTGTCACTTCAGATCACTTCATTTTAATTATTATGCATGCATACATGCATGCATGTGGTTTCTGATCTTGGCCTGGGATATATGGCTAGCTAGCTAGCTTCTTTAATTAATTTATTCAATTCACTGGGGATTTAATTTTGTTTTGTTGGATGATGATGATGATGATGATGATGAAATACGGTTCCACAATTTGTGGTGTGGTCAAACGTGAGAAGAATCGAAATTTACTCCTACGAGTCAATGTGAATCGCTCGCTTATAATTAGATCAGAGGATCGGATGTATCATGTATGCATCCTCTTTTACAATGTTTGTTTTCTCCATCTCTCACTCTTGCAAACTCTTTTTTTGTCCTCACTCTTTATTTCTTCTTTTCTCCTCACTATTTAATTACGACCCCAATATTTTTATTTATTTTTTTTTTTTTGTATAGAACAAATAGTATAGTTGAATCCCCTAATTATAAAATTCCTCACATAATAATAATAATAATAATAATAATAATAATAATAATAATAATAATAATAATAATTTTTACTTGTACTCCATTATTGTTTTGCCGCTATGATAGAAGTGAGTGTGCCAAAAACTTGTTCAAAATAATATATAAAAAATGAAAAAAAAAAATTATGAATTTGTCACCACTGCAAAACTTCACTCCGACATCATGTTTTAAAAATACAAAATCAGTATTTAAATAAATTTCAATCTCGTACGTATAACAACAAAATTGATCAACATGTTTGGACTAACAAGTTGGATAGATGTAAGTCTGGAATTTGTTGAGAAGAGTGAGAGCTTTGGGAGCTACTATTAATTGAATGATCATAAACCTTATAAATACTCTTCACGTAAACTATATAATATAAAATAGTTATTTCATTGTTTTCATTGTACGTTTAGTGTTTTTCCTTGTCAGAAATGTACTTTGATAGAGGGAACTTCTATGACTGTTGGAGGATGAAAATAGCATAGGGCTATTTTTGTCAATCCTCCTAATCCTCTTCTATTTTAACCACTTCATATATATCTTGTCTTCTCTATAATACACACTTGATCAATAATATCATCTTCTTCTCTCGGCTTCTTCTCTCTGCTTCATCATGTAGTCCATATTCCGACATGGTATCAGAGCGGCGGGGGCTCATCCACGCTGTTACTTTTTCCGGTGCCGGAGAAGTCGATGAAGTGAAGCGACGCCGTGCAATCCTAGTCCATCCGCAGAGGATGCGTAGCAACAAAGCCTATGCTAAGGCGATCCGAGTCTGTCCATCGTCGATCTCCATAGCTCTTCCGCAGCGGAAGGAAGGAGATCCGTGGATTCCAAGTCGATCTCAGGCGAACTCCACAACCGTTCCGAAGGGGAAGGAAGGAGCTCATCCGATCGTTCAATCTCCGAATTTGGAGCAAACAGCCGCAGCGGTTGTATATTTCCATCTCTAATACGTTCAGGGAGCCATAGCCGTAGCCGTTCCGCAGTGGAAGGGAGGAGCTTCGTCGATTCCGGTCAATCCGCAGAGGATTCCGAGTTTGGAGCAATCAGCCGCAGCGGTTGTATATCTCCATCTGAAATACGCTCAGAGAGCCATAGCTTTGAAGTGCGTGGACTCAATTGAGCGAGAGTTTCTGGATCAAACAAATTCTCTGCCAGGCGCGAATCTGAATCGGAGAACTGTCTTGCTACGATTCTCATCTGAGAACGATTGCAGAAGGGCTTGGTTGCGAAATCAGATGCTAATTGCGGATAACCGGATGTGGATGTCGCGATGGATGCCGGAGCAGATCGTCTACCCCAATCGTGATTCTCCCCTGACTCTGGTATGGCTTCAATTGCCTCTGCTACCCATTCATTTGTTCGATTTTGATGTGTTATCTCGCATATGTGAACCAATTGGAAGATTGGTAGAGTTTGGTTCGGCCACAATCAGACGAACTAGGCCAAATGTGGCAAAGGTGAGGATTGAAATCGATGTGTATAAATCTGTTTTTGATCGCATTTGGATTGAATTTGGTGAAGGAGGAGGTTTGGATGGGTTTTGGCAGAAAGTAGAGGTGGAAAGACTACCGAATTTTTGTGTTGCATGTAGCCGGTTTGGTCACCTGGTGGGGAATTGCAAGCAAACTGAGGTGAGGTTAAGAAGAAGAGAAGAAAGGGGCACATCACTTACTTGTAAAAATGTCCCAATGACTCCTGGAGTTATAAGAAAGGAAGATGGCCAAACACCTAATGTGGATGATTCAGGCCAAGGTACAGAAAAAGTAGAAGCTGATATAAGCTTTAAGGACAATGAGATGAAGAGCCCTAATCAGAGGGGTCTTGTCACAGAAATTGTCAAACTAGCTTGAAGCAAACTGACCCTTGTGAAGCATAAATATATGTTGTAAGTAGTTCTAAAAGGAAGCTGGCTCAGGCTGCTGAGTCTCCTGAGTTGAGGCCTAATCTGGAAGCAAAATTGGCATCATTAGCAAGTGAAGAATTTACCAGCATCATCATTCTCATATTATTGCTTCTATTAGCATTTTCTATTCTCTCTTTAGTACCTTCTCACAGATTGTTAGAAAATAACATTGATTTATTAATAAACAATTCATATGATCAGAATAGATATTATTGTATTATATGTATTAACCTTACCTCTCCGTATTGCTCTCCTCGTATGGACTAAATGTGACAACAATTTAAAAGTCAAGAGATTAAATATAAAAAAAAAAAAAAAATTAATAATCAGAGACCAAATTTATAGAGAACGAACTTCAATCTAAATTTATTTTCAAACATTTGCATAGACATAGATATAAATTAAAGATTAACAGTGTATACTTGTAGTGTAATAACAGGTCGATTTGGCATGTGCAAATAATTTTCAAAACCTGATCTCAGAACTGCAAAATGAACAAAAAATCCAAACCTCTAACTCACATTTCTCACTCAAATTCAGACCAGATGCTATCCCATTCCCCACTACTAACTGTCTGCTGTAGGAAGGATATTTGACACAGCAACCTTAACTGTCAATTATATTAGATCATTCACAATGTTGGTTCTATTAAGGATGCTTAATGCCCCCTTTAACTGTCATTTTAATGCTTAATTGGAGACAGTGGAAAATGGAAATTACAGTAAAAGAAAAGAAAATAAAGAGGAGTTGCAGATATATATAGAGAAGAAATTGAGGGAGAATAATGATATTAATTAAAATCCTAATAAACCAAGATTATACAAAAAGATAAGATAGATGGATGTCCAATGAGTAATAACAAAATTATTATTCTCTAGCTAGCTAGCTAATATATATATATATATATATATATATATAATATAAGGAGATGAGAGTTTGCAGGGGTGGGGTGTTAATGTGTTATAGATTTGAGATGAGAGGCTGGCGCAAAATGAAGGGGTGGCCCAACAGATCCTCGGCGGTGGCCCGATTCTGAGGATGTATCTCCAAGCAACATGCAATGAAATTTCTTAACTCTGGCGAAGTACCGGCCGGCATTAGCCTCAGTGGCTGAGAGGCTGAAATGGCGGTCTTGATGGCGGTCAAATATGAAGTTGGTTGTAATAAGGAGTCATCAAGTAATGGATAGTCTCCCACATATAACTCCCAGATGCTCATCCCAAAGCTCCATATATCCCCAGCATATGCATGGGCTTTGGGTAGTCCGTGTTGCTGGGTGAAGTAGTCGTGAATCCTCTCAGGGCTCATGTATCCCAGCGTTCCGGGCAAGAGTTCGCCGCATGTTTCCTCGTTGAGTATTTTCGAAATCCCAAAATCAGCTATCTTTAGCACGCCTTGAGAGTTGAAGAGGAGATTCTCAGGCTTGATATCATTATGAACAATGTTGCGAGTGTGGAGGTAGTTGAGAGCTGAAAGAATCTGTTTGGCCACGAAAGAGAGATAGGCTTCATCTGGAAAGTATTTGCTTTCGAGGGAGAGGAGGTCCATATACTCGAGGAGCAGTTGGGGACCTCCATACTGATAGGTAGCTTCGCCATCAGTCTTGTAGCCAAAGAATTTGATGATGTTGGGGTGGTCGAGATTTGAGAGTAGCTGGATCTCGGTGCTGAATATTTGGCGGCTAAATTTTCCAAGTCCAAGGCGCTGCCTCTTCAAAGCATAGTCCTTGCCAGTAGGCGGGTGGGAGGCCTTGTGCACGTAGGAATCTTCTCCCCAGCCAAGAAGGTTGTCCTCGTCGATCACCACTTCCGAGATGTTGATAGGATGATTAGGAGGAGGAGTGGGGAGAGTAAACGGAGGATCGACGGAGGAGTAAAGAGGAAGGCTTTGGTTAGCTGAATTGGGAGCCGCCATGGAGGTTACCGGGGGTGGTGGAAGCGGCAAGAGATCGAGATCAGATATCCTAGAGCTATCTAGGGCTTTTTGAAAGAGGGATCGGAAGAGATCGAGATCAGAGAGGCCGTATATATAATAAATATATGCATGCACCAACAAATCCATATATATTAGGATTAGGAAAATAATTCTGTTTTCAAAATTTATGTCCAATTTGATACGGAGTATTAATTTTTTTTTTTCTTTAAATATTATTTTTAGTCCTTTCACTATATTAATATGTCTCCGGTGCCTTATTATGAATAAGGGTCAAATAGGTCAATTCAACTGCACACAATAATACAATTAGATAACTAAACTTTAAAAAACAACAATTAACTCCCTAAATTAATTAATTTCATTTAATTAGTCCAATTTACAGGTTTTTTCAGGTTACTAACAGGTCATTCCATTTTTTCTTTAAAATTGTTATTTAAAAAAATTATTTAAACTTTAAAAAAAAAAACGAATAAAGTCTCCACCCGAGACGAAAAAAGTCTCCGGCCATGGAGGCGGTTTTAATCAAAAGGAAGGGAATGAGGATCGGAAAGCCGACGACTTGTACAAGCGTGCCCATCCATTTGCTATTGCCGCCTCTTTCGAAGTAGACGTTGTCAAGGTTGGTGGTGACTGTTTGTCCGGCGATAACGAACACGGAGTAGGCCGATATTTCCAGCTGCCTGCCGTATAATAGTTTGAGTAAAGAACCTGTTAATTAACATTATTGCTAATTAGAATTCTTTTACAGGT